GTGGCAGAAGAAAACAGAAAAAAAAGAGAGAGTGAGAAGAAAAGAAAATAAAAAAAATAGAGAGAGAGAGAGAAAGAGCAAGAAAAGAGAAAAAAAGAAAGAAAGAGAAGAGAGAAAGGAGAGAGAGAGAGAGAGAAAGAGAGCGGGCTTAAAGATAATCTTGTGATTGCTAATCCGACATGTCCATTACTGCTAGAGCGGATATGAAAAAAAGAGAAGGGTCGGTCCAACTAACCAACCAACTATCCATTCATTCATCCCCATCCGTCCATCTATTTATCAATTAGTCCATCCATGTTTCCATCCATCCATTCATTCATTCATTCATCCATCTATCAATCAACCTGTCTATAAACCATTCTATACGTCTATCCATTCATCCATTTGTTCGTTAATTCATTCATTTGTTCGTTCGTTCGTTCATTTGTTTGTTTATTCCTTTGTTTTGCCATTCATTTATTTGTTCGTTTGTTCATCCTTTGTTTGTTCGTTCGTTTATTCATCCATTCATTTTTGCATATGCTTGTCCATCTTTATCTTTGTCAATCCATCCGTCCGTCCGTCTATCAATACTTGTATTTATTTTACCATTACTACTACTACAACTACTGCTACTACTACTTCTATTTCTTCTTCTTCTACTACAACAACTACTACTACAACTACTATAGCTACTACTACTACTACTACAACTAACGACATCAACAACAACAATCAATTTCCGGCTATTTCTTTATGGATCTCGTTCTCAAGTGTGAATTTGGAGGACTTGGTTGGATGGTTGGATGGTTGGTAAGCTGGTCAGCTGGTTGGTTGGTCGGTTGGTTGGTTGGTCGGTCGGTTGGTTGGTTAGTTGGTTGGTTGGTTGGTTGGTCGGTTGGTTGGTTGGTTGGTCGGTTGGTTGATTGGTTGGTCGGTTGGTTGATTGGTTGGTCGGTTGGTTGGTCGGTCGGTTGGTTGGTTTGGTTGGTTGGTTGGTCAGTTGGTTGGTTTGTTGGTTGGATAGCGTGGTTGGTTGACCGGTTGGTTATTTGATGGAAAATTAGTTGATACACAATTAATTATTCATCAATAAAGATAAAAATAGAGAGAAAAAAAAGAGTAAAAGTAAAATGAGAGAAAGAGAGATGAAGAAAAGAAAAAAGTCATAAAAGAACTAATGGATCGAGAAAGAAACAGATAGAGAAGAGAAAGAGTATAAGAGAAAGAGAGAGAGAAAGAGAGAAAGAGAAGAGAGAGAAGAGGAGTGCATATACATTTATACACACGGTTAATGATATATTTGTCTGATGGTACCATGTATATAAACTGGACTGAGAGGATAGTGAGGAATTATTTCAATTGAGATTTTTATTTTGCCTCGCCAACAGGTTAGCTCTTGATTGTGTTTATTTTATTATCATTATCTCTATTATTTATTTGTTATTTTTGTTATAAATGTTGTTGTTATTATTATTAATTAAATTAATAATAAAATGATATATTTATTGTTGGTGTTATAATTAATGTTATTATTATCTCTATTATTATCGTCCATATTTTTTGTCTCATTTTCAAAATGATACTAGTATAAAAATTATCTACTAAATCGCTCTTCTAACTAATAAATAAATGAATTAATTTGTTTAATTTCATTTCAATTTCGCAAACTCAATGTTGTTTAAATCTTTAAAAGCCTTTTCAAATAAAATTAATAGTTGACAAGATTAATTTATTAACTCTTGAGCTATTCAAAGTTAACGTAATTCTTTTATAACTAGACATAAACGCTAAATATTTAATAAAGAAAAATCGCGAAAATGTATTTGTTATAAAAATGATCAACCATATCTTTCTCGTCAGCAATAACATATGCCCGCCCTATGTTACTTTCATAAAATAATTTTTATTTTTAATTATCGTGTGTGGTCGTTTTGAGTTTTAATTATTTTATGAACAAATTTCTTGCGAGTATTTTTTATGGTCAAGTTAAAAAAATATTTGTCTGGTAGCCTTCTTCTTCTTTCTTTCTTTCTCGTGCCTTATCCTTTCAGGACATTGGCGACCATCGACCTTCACAAAAGCCGATCTTTAACGCTTTGTAAGAGTTGAAATGTGGTGATACTCAACAAGTGACACAAGGACCTCACGAATGTTCTTCGTTGTTGACCGCGATCTCTTTTCCCTGCAATCTTTCCAGTAGTTGTTAGATTTTCCTGTCTGGTAGTATTAATACCTTAAAATAATATTAGCGGTAGCGTTTACCATCGTCATCATTATATTGTCTAAATACAATTTTCTCAATGTTTTTTGAGTTTGTAGTTTATTTCTATTTATTTTTCTTTCTTTTAAAATGTTTTTTTTTCTAAAATTTAAAAAAGTCAAATCCGGGTTTTGTGATGATATCAACCAAGAATGACAAATATGTACGCTGTTTATAATTTTTAAACCTACATGAAAATTTCAAACAATAATTTTACTTTAGAAATAGTTTATTTTTTATAAAAATGCACAATTCTATCGTTAATTTTGAGTGAAATTTGATGTAACGCTATTAAAAAAAATTCCAGAAAATCCTTCAAGAAACGTCCCAGTAAAAGTGATGAACCCTTAATAAATTAAAATAAAAAAGCAATAAATTCCTGAAATTATTGATCTGACGGAGACATTATCGATCGTATCCGTATCCGTGTAGGGACTGTTCCGGACGAATACTTGAGGAAATATCCGGGATGGATCCGGAGACTAAGCAACTGCATACGAGACGAGTTTTTGTTGTTGAGGTATTTGAGGTAAGCGTCCTTAATTTTTAGCGGTTTTAGTGAAGTAGGTCTAGGTATCAATTGTTGTGATACTGTTGTTATTGATGTTATTGCTGTTTGGGTTGTTGTTGAAGTTGTAGTATGTTCTGTTGTTGTTGTTGTTGTTGTGAGTTGCGTTTTTTTGCACTTATTTTATTCTGTTAATGACTCTGTCGACAAATTTAATCTAAACTTTTGCGCGCCAAGAGACG